ATAAAAAAGTTTTTCGAACAGTAGTGTAACTACAACAATAAAAATTATTATTTATTTTATATTATTTTAACTAATTGAATTTTTGGCTAACCATACAGCTGTTTCGAGTATTGCCAAATACCCATCATTAGTGGTCTTGGAAATAATTCTTGTATTTAATTATTCGTAAATAATTTTTTGAGACTGCAAGTACCAAGAGTTGAACTCGTACTCTGCCAAATTTGAAGCTCAGAGTCAGCATTTGTTACCCAACTGACCCAAAACCGTGCTTGAGTCGTATATTCAGACTGTAAATTACAAATCAATGATTTCTTGTCTTATCTTATCCTATTAAATTTTATATTGTTTTATTTAAAACCATAAGCCCATTTTTAGCATTTCATTGATGTGAAAATTATACCTAAAATCGGTAATGCTGTTAAGCAGCACATTAAAGATTTACATTATAATTTCATATTAAATATTTGAAAGTTAAATTTTGAAATATAGTACAATAAGGATGTATACTCCGTTTCACTTGAATAGCACACTTCGTTTTTGCATTATTATTTGCTTATCTATCAATGATCTCATGACTTTGTTGTAATAATTGTTGGGTTTTTTTGTTTGTTTCCTTATGTAGTCTCCTCCAAAAAAAATTAGTACTGCGGAAATGTACCGTTAAATTTTCCCGTTATTTTCTTTTGAATTTGCATCAATAACTAGTATGTATTTCGTTTCACTTGAATAGCACATTTGGTTTTCAATTTAATTTATGAGTAGCAGCTCACCACAATATTAAGTTTTTTTTATTTATTTGTGAGTTTTAAATACAGTGTGACGATTTAAATTAATAATGGGTCGTGGTAATGCTTTAACCAACAAAGAACAGGTCAAAATAAAAAGCTTCATTGATTCTGACCTGTCTGTAACTCAAATATCAAAAAAAATCGGAAGAAGCAGAAAAGTGATATACAATTTCATTCAAAATGATCTTAACTATGGAAAAAATATGAAAGGCCGTGTAAAAAGCGTCCTCAGCTATGCAGATAAGCGGGCTATTTTGAGGCAAGCTTCGAATTCGCACGATTCGGTTAACAAAATTAGGTTAAAAGCTGGTGTCAATGCAAGCAAAACTACCGTATGGCGGGTTATTTCGAATGCCCAACATCTAAAACGGCTTAAATTAAAAAAAAAAATCACCACTTAACCCTATACGTAAAGAAGTTCGGTTGACTTTTTGCCGTGCCAACATGTCATGGAGCAAGGAGTGGAATAGCGTTGTTTTCTCTGATGAGACAAAGTTTAATTTGGAAGGGCCCGACGGTTACAATTATTATTTTCATGATTTGAGGAAAGAAACTCATCAGTTGGAGCGTTTACACAGTAGAATGGGCGGAGTTATGGTTTGGGGAGCCATATCTTACTATGGCACTTGTGAACTCCAATTCTTAAACACAACTATGAACGCAAAATCGTACCAAGGAGTTTTAGAAAAAGCTTTTCCTTCATTAGAGAATCTTTTTGGAGAATTGCCGTGGACTTTCCAACAAGACAACGCCCCAATACATACTGCTCGTGTTGTAAAATCGTTCATTGAATCCAGAAATGTTGCTGTTCTGAACTGGCCACCATACTCGCCGGACCTTAACATAATAGAAAATGTTTGGGGATGGCTGGCTAGAAAAGTGTATTAATCTGGAAAACAATATTCAACAAAAACTGAACTAATTGAAGCAATTCAACGAGCATGGGCTACAATTTCCCTTGATTATATTAAAATTTTGTATGATTCACTTCCCGATAGGATCTATGAGGTTATATTAAACAAGGGAGGTTCAACTCATTACTAAAATGTTAATTTTAACAAATTAATCCTTAATAATAAATAAATAAACAGTCCCTAGTGCATAAAATAATTAAATTTATTTAAAAAACAAAAATGTGCTATTCAAGTGAAACGAAATTTTTATGCTATTTATATACTTATTTAGTTTGTCATCTTTTAATATAAAAATTATTGAAAAAATGCAAGTTTTTTTTTTATAATAAAGATTATTAATCACACTACCTATAAAATCTAAAAAAAAATTGTTTTATTTCATTAGTTTAAAAGATATAAAGAAAAGAAATTAAATATGTGAAGTGTGCTATTCAAGTGAAACGGAGTGTATATCATAAGTTGTATAATACATACTTTAAATACATTATATATAAATTTGAATATGTATAATATATTGTAAATAATATACCATACATAAAATATTGTATATAGTATAATATATTCCATATATATTATATGTATACTATGTATATATTATATTATACATATTATATAATCGAATATAATACAATATAATATATATGAAATAATATACATATATGAAATATATATTAATACAATATATGAATACAATATATTGTGTGCGTATATTTTACTAAGGGGTTAAAAAGATATGTATATAAGTAACGTAATTTATCTTTATTACATCCTCTCAACTCGATTGTTGAAAAGTAAATCTTTTTATTTATTTTATTGTACTAAATAATACTTAAAATATTTACAACATGCTACTTTACAGTTTCTATAAATTTGGAGTAAACAAGTAGCAACAATTTAAAGGCGATGAGGTGATCATGCCATTAAACCGTTTTTCCAAATTTATAGAAGCAGTTTACAATAACTAAAGGAAGGCAGGGGCGGATTAATACGATTATGTTTCTTATACATTTAAATGAAATTAATTATTTATGAAAATATCCAAATTTTTTTATAAATGGTATTTAGTATTAATGAACTGTACATTAGACGTATGATATCATAGGTTCTTAGATGATGTTCGAATTATGTTCAACAAAATATTTGCAGACAAGACAGCATAAATTTTTCTTAATGAAGGAAGTCAAACGTAGCAACACAAAACGCATACATCTGACATCTTATAAATGCTGGTACAAAATATCACTGGATTGACTTTTTAACATTTTTAAGATTTTTATAACCTTCGAAGATAAGTGTGGTTTTGAGGTGATCTCTGAGAGTATGTTATTTCATAGTTGTATATTAAATTACTACCTTAAACAGGAAACACAATATCAATAGCAGTAATTTTTCTTATATAGCATGAATGCAGAACATTATAATGCTGTGAAATTGCACATTAAAGAACTGTAATATATCTTTATATTAAATATTTAAAAATTGAATTGTGAAATATAGTACGAAGAAATTGTATACAGATTTCTATAATCCACAGTATATACTGTGGATTTCAATATTATATTGTGTACATAATATACAATATCTATTAAAATATTAAATAAAATATATAGATGATAACAATTAATATAATATTTATACATTACATATATATAATATATATAATAATATATGTAATACAGTATTTAATATACATGTAGTATGTTATACTTCAATATTATTTCCTCTAAAATAACAACGATTCAAGCATATCCAACAATTAATTATTGTAATATTTGAAACTTTTTTTATGGGTACATTTTTGCAACACATAATTTTAAACCGACAAAACAGCATTTTGAAAATTCAATAAATAAATGAAAAAAACTTATACTGCTAACTTAACCCGACTCAGCATTTATTTTCTAGTTTTTTACCATGTATACCAATGTGAACTGATTTGCCGCTTTTTAACAAAACAGAGTTCCATCCGTGGCTAGCAGGGATAAAAGTTTTGTATCTGTTACCAAAGGTTGTGGTTAAAAATTAGATTAAGATTGAAGTAAAGTAAGCTTGATTTTTTTTTGCTAAACCTGTGAAGTGCTGCATAATTGCTGAGTGTAACTTTATTATATATTCTCATACCTGGGTAAAGTTAAGTTTAACCTTAAAAAAAATAGAAGTCTAAAACGCAAAGATTTTAACCTGAAGGTGTAATATTGTTTATATTTGAAGATACTATGTAGTTTTCCCAATCCCATTAAAGGAATAGAGAACAGAGGGAGAATATGCATGTTTGGATTTTGCTCAAGCATAAGAATTTTACTTACTTATACATTTAACTTAACGAATAATACATTTGCTGGGGTTTCAGGCTTTTAATAGAGATATGTAATTGACTAAAAATACTTTATGCTGATAAAAAATCGTACACAATAACTAAGATAGAGTTGTAAAACTTAAAACGTATACGAAATTGTATTATAAATTATACAATAAACTCTTATTTAATACATCTTTTAAACTTGATATCAAAGCTAGTATTTGAAGCAAACATCCTATAGATATTTGAAAATAGAAGCTGCTTTTCAGTATTTCATTTGTATGGATACTGTAATAATAATGTCAACCAATTTTTTACATTTGTGTACAGATTTTTGTGTTTAATTTCAAATAAATTTTAAAATTATATTAATGTTAACAAAAACCATCTTAACATTAATTTTTCTTAAAAAGCAAGAAAAAGTATTTAACCAAAATTTAGTCTTATTCAGCAAAATATGCTCCTTTCTAACACTTTTTTGTACTCTAGAGACCCGGAAAGTAATGATTTTTTTCTGAAATTGGTGCGACAAATACTTTATTCTTTGCTATTTTATAAACAAAAATCTGAAACACTGCTTATTCGGTTAAAACGCTTAATCAGTGTTTTTAATTTGAGTGTTTCAGAGTTTTAAACCAGTTACTTGTAGTCCGAAATTATATATGTACTTTAAAATAAAACTGACCAATATCTGCAAAGACCACGGGAATTAGTAATTCATGGGAGTTCTTAAAACAGTTGTATAATCAACCAAAAAATTTCATAAATTGAAGTAAAATCTTTGTTGTTTATTTTATACTATTAAATATTTACTACATTTTAAAATTGAAAATATTTTTCATTAATAATGATAAGGAATCCATTTGAACCTGCTATAAATTGTTATTAAACGAAATGCTATAGATTGTTATTAAGCGAAATGTTAACACCTGAAACCTAAACTATGCAAATTGTTACTTTTAATTAGTTTTACTGAAATGTTTCCTTCATAATTTTCAGATTCCAATTTTGTGCTTGGAAATGCGCAGGCAAATGGCAATCCAATTGTTTATTGCTCGGATGGCTTCGTGGATTTGACAGGATATTCACGGGCGCAAATCATGCAGAAGGGTAAGTAATAAAAATATAAATATTTCTCTCTTTACAAATCTTGTAGATTAAATGCAAAATGCAAAATTGCGAAATGTTCAATTTTTTTCAACTTCATTTCTGTATACATATTTCATTAGTTGTCAAATATAAAACTCTATGTTTTCGTTTTTTTTACTCTTGAAATTTTACAATAAAAACAGGATGTTCGTGTCATTTCCTGTATGGACCGGATACAAAGGACGAGCACAAACAACAAATTGAGAAAAGTCTGCTGAATAAGACCGAACTGAAACTGGAGGTTATATTCTATAAGAAAGATGGTGAGTTGACATAAACTAAAGAAAAAACTTACAATAAATTCTAATTATTCTCTACTAATTAAAATTGTGTAGAGTTTCTGTGGAATAGAAATTAAAAAAAATTGTGGATTCATTGTAAGCTGTTGAAACGTAAATGTGTTAATTAAAAGTTATTTACGCTTTAAGCATTTACGTAATGAAAATGAAAGTTAAGAAAGTTAAAGGAATATCTTGTTAATGAAATTTTATTTCAAAGAGAAATAATGTACTTACTAACATTTTTTTAAACTTAAATTTTATACACACATTTTTGAAAGTACAATATGTATGAAACATAAAAACATCTAATGGATATAATACTATTCGTCTATTTCATAAATATCCTCCCTCCCAGAAGAATTTTTAAGTTCAAGCGCTTATAGATATTACAATCAAATAAGAACCAGCAACAAGTGAATTGCTTAAATAATACTTAAATATTTATAGCGACTACGTGAGTTACCAAGAAAACGCATTAAAACTAAACACAAATCCCCGAAGGACAATAAAGACGAAAATTGTGCTATCTACTATATGTACACATAGATAAACCCACTGCCAGCAATCACTTTAGCACGTGTCACAAAACGAGAAAAACTTTCGTTAAACTTTTGCAAATAAATTCGAATTCAATCCAATTAATTATTAGAAATTTTCTACGAAAAAAGAAGAACACATATTAATTGTTATATTTGTTTTTCCTTACTTTACCATAAAAAGTGTTACATATAAATTTCATATTCCTGACAGAAGCACAAGAAAGTTGCTCAAAAAATTGTACCAAACAAAAAAGAAATTTTTTACTAAATCAACAGGCAACATTTTCCGGTCTCGCACCAAGAAGCCTTGAACTACTTTAAAAACACCGTAAACTCAATCTACAACAGTATCTTCTAATATAGAACTGTGCACATACAACTTATTTGCTACAATGCATCAGATATGAATCTTTGGTGTACAACATGTGGTATGAGTAACTTTTTAACTGCTTCGACTAAGTTTGCACGTTCACTTGTGTTCATACGTTTGTTACGTTCTATTGGTTTGTGTTATTAGTCGTGGATGTCTTATGACAATATGTGCCACTAAACTTTCTACGAGCAATTGCACACTTGCACACTTGCTCACTTTCATTGAAATGCCAGTGTTAAGTGCCAATAGAGTTTATAACGCGTCGTTTATGTTTAATGAGGTCATGCTTGAGAATATCAACACGACAATATCTGATTGGTTTAATGTAGAGCATCATTAAAGTAAATAATTCGGTTATTACTGAAATTCAAGACGCTACCCACTGAAGTCATGAAAGGTTTATACTTAGTGTAAAGCTTGAAGTTATTGCGTGGTTGTCAAGGTGAAATGCATTTAATGAAATGTGTCCTTATCCGTACGCGATTAAATTAAATTGGAAATTCTAAAAATAGGCACACAAACTCTGATACTTAATATTATATATTTTTGTTCAATATACTTTACATTTATATTTAATATATATTCTATGACTAAAGTATAAAAAATAATATATAATGTCTTTATGTAAAATAAAATAAAAGGTCCACGGTGTAAGTCCATTTCATGCCAACCTAATAAATATTACTACAACCATTAATAATATTAAGAAAATAAAACCAAAATATGTTGAACAATTTATGTTTGAGCTATTTAATAACACTCAAATCAAATGAAAAGGTAGTAGGTAATAAATATTCAAACTCTTCGCAATATATGTACACTTTATGCCTGTATTACAGAATCTCCCTTGTATAGACTGTGAGGCTAAGGATACAGAATATACCCAATGTATACAGTCCGTGTCACATAAAGTCACAAGTAGCTTTTCACTGATTTCAAGTTGGAAAAGTTTCGTGTGCCTACAGACATCATTTATTGTTTGATTCAGTTTGAAGACAACCAACAGAAGGTTGTCTCAAAGTATATTTAAGCAGGTCAAAAAATAGTTACAATTCACAAGGTACCATATTACCAAATAGATTTAAAAGAATTAAGCCATTGTATCTACCGACACCTTTTAACCTACATATGCAATTATTAACTGGTTTTGATGATGTGATCGTTTAGACTAAAGTTTTAAGTGCAGCTTTGTTTTCACTTAAAGCCACTTTGTTTTCAACTGTCACAAGGAAACTGAATGAAGTCTTACAAAAATATCAATTGAATCTACTTCAGTTAAAAATAAATTGTAGTCCATATCACTGCGCTAAGAATTTTTATGAAATGCTTCTCATCAGTTTTGGGACATTCTGTGCACCTAGACCTTGAAGTTATATTGTACTGTAAAATTCTTTTCGAAATTTGCAAAAATTTTCGGCTCCTCTTAAGGAAGCGGAGTATGCTTGAAAAAATGCAGAAACTGATATAAGACCTACCCACGATATCGAAGTGTTATACTTAAATCTAAACCTCTCTATGATTATAATGATCCGAAATAAAGTTCTTATTAGCTATACTAACCGACCTATTCTGTGCAATTGATAAATTTATCAAATTCTTTAATAAAATTTTTGATTTTTATAAAGCAGAAAGCTTTTTGGTATTCTGGACACATCTTGACAAATTTCAAAGCTCAAGTACCTAATGCTTCGCACCACACTATCGTGTAAAGTGTTTTGTATATAAAACTGTTCGTAATTATTCGTAACTATTCGTAAAAAATGCTTGTCAAGAGCACATATTTTAAGTTGCCAAAAGCATTTTTCATGCATTCAAATAACAATAGAAAATATGCTTGTAAAAAGCATATATTTGAGTTAAGAATATTTGTCATGCATACAAATAATAAAAAATGCTTAAAAATAGCATATTTTTATAGTTGTCAACAGCATTTGAGGTATTGAGAACTAAAAAGGAAAAGAGCTTTTTATTTATGTCACAGAATACCAAAACCTTTACAGCAGTCAATTTTGACAAGTGTCAATGTTTGACAATTTTATAAAGTACACAAAAAAGGTCCGTAAAAATATTTAAAACATTTATTATCATATGTAACCTATAATTTTGAGCTACAAAATAATAGGTACCATGCATCATTTCATTAAGCATATGGAAATGATTACTTTTTTTAATTCAATCCTTTTCAAAGCACATCCTAAGTAAGTACATTAGAAGTGTTATTACTCATAGTTTTACCTTTAATTATTTTATAAGGTTATAATGTAAAATATTTGCTCATTTTTTTATAATGCAGTTTTTAGTTTCACTATTTCTAATTAGTTTAAAACCTTTTAACATATTCAAAGTTTTCTGTTAAAATAAGTTAATGGAACTGATATCTCCAAAGGAAAAACTTTAATGTAAAAATTTTCATGCTGCGGCTTAAATGTGAAATCTGAAAACGCAGCGTCAACGCTTTATGTGGTTTAGTGTTGAAGTAAAGCAGATACTATAAAAGACACTATGTATCTGCGTTGGTGCTAAAAAGCATAAATAAGATTATTTTTTCATATTTTAAAAAGGTTCTAATACATCTGGCAGTACGCAGAGTACTTATTTATTTATTTATTTATTATTTGCGATATTTGAAATAATTTTTACTTTGCTTTAATGTTTCTTATGGATTTCAATGGATTTTCTGTGACATTTTTCTTTGCAGGTGCGCCGTTTTGGTGTCTTTTTGACATTGTACCGATAAAAAATGAAAAGCGTGATGTGGTTTTATTTCTGGCATCGCACAAAGACATCACACATACGAAAATGTTAGAAATGAATGGGACTGACGATTGTGATAGCGGTAAGTAATTGCTGGATACTGTCAACAACACTTGTTCGCTGTGCTACGTAGATACGAGTACAAATATTTGTGTGCATGATATATGTTGAGTCCAAAGTGCAAAAAGAAACTCAGACACATACTCTGAACAAACAGACATGTAGTGTCGGTTAAAGTTATACTTGATGTCCTTGCTAAAATATTTTTTGATAGACTGTTTATTTGGTTTTCATAGGTTAAAAAAAAAAGCTAAGTGGTTTTGAAAACCTTAACTTTCTTTTTAGTCCTTTGTTCAGTTGTTGCCTGCCTACCAATTATTTTTCGGTTGCTGTTATTGTTTGCTCTTTTGCGTGTCACCTGCATGTGACACATGAGTTTCCACTTTGTTTATTTCACTCGTAAGTCAATAACTTTGTTACTTTTGATTTTCATTTTAATTTTCCTTGCTTGCTTTCGAGTCTTACAATTTTCCATTGTTTGCTGAAATATGATTTTGTTATGTGGCTTTCATGATTTTCTTTGTTTCCGTTTTTGGCTGTGTTTATTTATTTTTTAATTTTTTCTTTACATATTTACTTATTTTACCTCCTAACAACATAAAGCAAAAAATGTTATATTTGAACATTTCAAAGAATTCTGTTTTTTCATCATTGAGATTAGCAAAACAATTTCCATTCTCATCTCGGCTTCATTTCCTCCTGTATTCATATCTCATGTCACTTCCTCGTCGCGAAATTCTTTTTGCACCATTATTCTTAGTGAAAGTTTTCATGGAAATTAGGGATTAAATTTTTTTGTGTGATTTTTATCTTCTGGCTCTGTGTGCTTTGCTGTATGTAAAACACGTTCAAATGGAATAAATACGGAATAATTAAGTTAAAAATTTCAATGTGATTCAATCAGATATTAAAACAGAATCAAAGAATTCTGAAAAATTATACTCTAAACAAAACAAAAAAATATGCAAAATATCATATTAAAAAAGGATAATACTTTATTCTCTACAAATCAAAGAAAAATATTCGCAAATATTTTAAATCCTGTTACATATACAGAAATTGTGTTCTAATGAATGTCAATCAATGTGCTTTTTAATATTACTATCATCGTAATTCTGTAGCAAGATGAAATAATAATTTATAAGTAGATTTATTGAATTAACAATGAATGATAAATTAAAGTAAGGCAAAAATTCAATAGCAGAAGAGAACTTGACTACAGTATAGAATGGAAGTATTTAGTATGTTTAAATAGCAAATGCAAAGTAAATACGTATATTTTACTAAAACGAAGGAAGTAACTTTACCATAAATAATTATGATATTTTCAATTTCGCATACATGAAAAATTAATCATTAATCTTGATCCTCCTTCGATATCCCCAGTCGCTAATTAAACTTAAAAACTAAAGTTCTAAAGAATTAGCACCATCATGGGCCCATAAACACAGACTTATGAACGTACAAGCCCATGCCTTCAGTATATTGACTCTTTGCACATTATTCAATATTAAAATTTACAATAAAAATTCACAACATTATAAATAAAATCAAATTCAGTAAATTCATTTATCTACAAAGAATATGTACCAACACCACCACAGGCATTCTGCTACCCGCACTCATGCCAATTATTTGCGGTGGTTCCATGAAAAGAACACTAACCGCCTTGACATCGTCGATATCTCTAAATGCCATCGACAATACTCGAACATCAGTGATGGCTAAACACTGAAACACCATTAATATAAGCCTAAAAAGTGACTTAGACCTACCAAATATACAACATCAAATCTTAAAATAAATTTTTAAAATAACCCTTGAAACAGTTAAAGATTAAATATTTTTCTCCATATTTGTGTCTATTATGAAACTTTCATAAAGACTTACCATTAACAACAGATATTTAAAAATTAATAACCATCCTATTGATTTGAAAGTTTCAAAGAAACTCTGAGATCCTTAGCTACTCCTAACTATGAATAATTTTTAAAATTTAAATCAATTTCAAAAAAAAATTTCAAATAAAGAAAACTGTAGTATTATTTCTTAATACGATTACAAAAGGTGTTTGTGCTAACATTAGTAAAAGAGCTTAACCTGAAAGAAAGACATGTCCTTTACTTCAGGACAGAAAGTTTTTCTCGAAGTATATAATCAGAATCAAATCCTGAACATAAGTTTGAACATAAGTGTTTGTTAGGGTGTTAATGTCCCTCACTACTCGCTGTTGGAGAAGCTCAATTTTCTTTGGGCTCGTGCATTAGTTCTGTGTCGCTAAATAACCCACAATTCTTTTACTATTTTAGCGATTAAGACTTTTACCGCTTTTTATGCACCATAGCTTGTGCCCCAAAAAAATCGCTTATTATGTTTCCAACGGAAGAGTAACAAAGACATGTGAAGAAAATATGTCTATAACAACTTTAATTTCTCTTACCATACTCGGGTGTTCTTCGTAATTAAGAGCGATATAGATATCTCATGAAATATTCATCCCCACTTAGTACGTGGGAAGGGAAGGTAGCTGTATTTTAAAGAGTGAAAGAGTGCTATAGTTTTTTGTGCTATTTTATGCCTTGCATCCTTTCTGGATTCAGTATAGAGGAAATAACAGAAATATTCGCTAAGATGCTTTGTTTAAAAGATTCTTGATTTTTTATTTGTTAGTGTTTACATAATACACCGAAGATATGTCACACATTCGTAAAACATGTTATTCAGTGTAAATTTTAAATTTAATCAAATTTTTGGATATTCTTGATATTTGCAAATTAAAGGATACATTTTAAGGTAAAAGAGAGACTTCGGTTTCAGACTTAAAAATTTCTATAAAAAATGTCTATATAAAAATATGTCTATATATTACTGGAAGGAAAACTTAAAAAATTAAATACTAAATAGCTAAATACCAAATAAATATTGTGCATAATGTAACGTACCAAGAGTATTTTTTAAATGTAACAATATCTTTATACATCGATATATATATTCTTGTGTTTGTATTGTTTTTTCAAAGACACCATTTTGACAACTTCTTTACTGATTTTGACATATCTCATCGGTAGGATTGATGAGAACTTCACTTTTCCGTGAAGTTTTTGCAAATTGTTATTTTACAGTTATACATAAATTTTTCTATTATCATTACATTTCTTCTCGCCTTCGTTGGGTATTCAATTTATAGTACTAAATATTTTAGTACTCTTTTTCATGCCTTAATAGTACTAATCGAATCAAATAATAAAATCTAACAGATCAAGTTTTGTTGAATAAATATATACTCCACTGACATATTTTTGTCGCAGCGAAGAAGAATCATTATTAAGCAAGTACAATTATTTTTTTGCCTATTTTTAGCCTAATTTTATTTTATATAATAACTAGATAACCCGACAAACGTTGTTTTGCCTTATAAATTATTTCTAGTTTCTAGATAAATTCTAGTGTAGACAAAAAGTAACTTACTTATTATAAGTGTGTAAGTAAGTGGTATATGCATGAAATAGGCATGGAGCGCTATGAACGAAAAGGAAAATAAAAATAACAAACGCCAAACAATATTATTTTTAAGTTATTATAGTTTATTTATTAAATTATTAAATTAAAATCAATAGATTTGTATGATACCAAGTTCTCTGGCAACAACTGTTGTATCTTCAAATTTAAATTGTCTTGGATTGACTGTAAATAATAATAATAATAATGGGCCAGTAACATTAACCAACAACAGTCGAAGATAAAAGCACTGTGTGTCTTGGATTAATTGTAAATAAGCGTTCGATTTAAAAAAATTGAGACATGCATCAACTGGTGAAACTTGCTTGCGGGGCATCCATTTTTTTGTTTAAGCCCATGTGAAATAGCGTGGTACTTGTGAATAGAGAAATGTTCTTGCAAAGGCACCAAAATCATCCGTACTATTACACATTTCAAAAAATGCAGTGAGTGTAGATTTAGGTGGATTTGTAGCACGATCAATCACAGTGTCGTTCGTGAAAAATACACGCTGACCGTTTTCAACATGGACGGCTAACTGAACAGCTGCTGGATCCCGTTCATGAATTAGAAAACCGAAGATACGCCAAGCAGCTTCATTGGAGCTGATGTACCGACCAATTTGGTAGAGCGTAATTTCACCGTTTTTGTTCATTGGAGGAGCATTTACATTAGTATTTTCTACTCTAAACACAGCCATATCACTGCCTTTATGGACATACTTATATTGTATGTCTTGCTTAGCAGAGGCGAATACAGCACCACCCGCCATAGTCCCCCATTATCGGGATTTCTTCGACGATATACTGGATATTCGTCGGTATTTGTTATAGTATCATTAGTGAAATCTTTAGAAAAATTTTTAGTACATTTTCCATCTGCCATGCAAGGCGAAGACGAAGAAACGAAGTAAGGACTCGGTAGGGTAGGGACTCCCTAATCACTTTAGCGGTATGAAAAATAGATAGTAGCCGATTCTCAGACCTATAGAATACGCATATAAAATTTGGTAAAAATCGTTTCGGAGGAGTACGGTAACTAACATTGTGACATGGAAATTTTATATATAAGACCGCAAACAGACATCGTTTGGAATTGTGACTTATTGATGGTCTTTGCAAATGCCAATCTAATAGGAAATTGAACGCGTTTGAATTAAATTGGCTTGTCTGTGAGAATCATTGGAATTCGTGTCAATAAAACTTTTTCGTTTCGGAACTTGCCATTCAAAATGGTGGCTTCGATAATGTTTTTCATTAATTTTTTAATTACCAATCGCGTACTATTGTACTATTGTATTGTATGTGTACATCTGGAAATACGCGGTCAATGAGAGCATTTTGATAATCAACGATAGTGCAGAAATTAGGGGGCAGTTTTATGAATTCAGTTTTTTCATAGACAACAACTTTTCATATCATAGCAAGTTTTCTTTTTCAAAAATATAAAAAAATTTATGTCAAAAAAATAAAAAAATTTTTGTTAAAGCAATAAAGATATTTTTACTGGATAGGGACACCCTAG